TGGCCCAAAGACACCCTCCGTAGAATTCCAAATCGTGATTCGGTCGTTCAGGGAGACCGCGGTTGGAGGCAGGGTAGCCCGAGGAAGCCCCCGGAGGCCCCCAGAATGCGCCCAGGAGGCCTCCAGAACGCCTTAAGGAAACCCGAAACAACTTTTGCGAGGCCCCTAGAGGCGCTCCAAGGAGGAGCCTCCGCAAAAAAGAGCTGCGGAGCATGGGAAGAATGCGCAGGGCATGGCGAAAAGAAGGAACAATAAGCATGGAGGAAGGATAACGAATAACATCATTGTAGCGGCGATGCTAGAAAAGGCAACCAGAAGTTATCGCTAAATTGTCGGCTTGACCTTCCTGCCATTCCGCCTGCGAACCAAGCTTCAAGGACCAAGGTGCATGGCGCGAAGCGCCACTGCAGTCTTGTGTATATACATATATATATATGTATATATATACATATATATATATATATATGGATATAGCCATATGAAGGTGTACACCCTGGAGAAACCTCGTGGATTTCCTTTTTGCATCCCATGGATGTCCCAAGGTGGCCGATGGAGGTCAGGAGAAACCCGACGGATTTCCAACGGTTTCCGTCGGCGCGCAAGCGCGTCGATGGGGCTGCGCGTTGGTTGCCGAGCGCGTCGATGGGGCTGCGCATTGCCGCGCGCGTCGCTGGGGCTGCGCATTGCCGAGCACGCTCCTCGCACAATTCGCGGCCCCACAGGTATCTCCACGGGGCCCTCTCCTCTCCGAGCCCCCCCCCCCCTCCGATGCTGTTTGAGGCTTGCGAGCTCAAGTCAAGCGTCGCGTACCGACCGCTACTGGCCGCTCGGGATTTCCGAGCTCATCGAGCAGGTGACAAGAGGCGCGCCGAGCTGGCGGTCGCCTCATTCCACAAGACGCACGTCGATCACGCCGAGCACTGGCGCGACATCTCTCCTGGCTCGCGCCCGGCTTTCGCGAGAAGACGTTCGAGTTCGCGCAGACAGGGGGCGTCGAGCTCGGCGGGGACGTGCTGGAGATGACCCCCCCGCGGGTGCCACGCCGATCGGGCCCGCCCGAGCCTCGGCGAGATGACCGAGAAACTCCCGGCGCTCCACGGGCCGGCCCTGCCTTTTCAACAGTTCCTTCGAGCCGATCGTCGACGGGGATTCCAGCAGCGGGGAGGGCACTACGAGAAGATCGACGACAGTGTCAAGCAATCTGTTAATTACGCCACGGAGTGCTACATCGTCAAGCGCAGCATAACGACCGAGCGCGTGGCCAAGCGGCGCATCCACATCAAGCGCACCGCGGACACGCGCCGCATTTCCCAGCCATCGTCGAGGTCGCCAATGAGTTCGAGCAGCTGCAGAAGAAGCGCGCGGCCGCGAAGAGCGAGGGCGAGGCCGGGGGCGAGCCGGGGGCCAATGAGTCGAGCACGCAGCACGCCCGCGGCGGCGAGCGGCGGTCGCGCGAGGCCTGGCGAGGCGAGCGCCTCGCGCAATTTTTCGAGAGGTCTTCCCCGAACGAATTTCGTTTCGAGCGCCTCCCCTCTCGCCGAGAAGCACCGTTTGCTCCACTGACGACGCTCGACCCTCGGATCGAGCATCTCCGATCTTGGATCCGAGCATCTCCGAGCATCCCGGATCTTGGATCCGAGGATTGGTCAGCTTGGGATTCCATGGCTGCCATAAGGAATCATTTGGCAATCCTGAGGAACCGTACTGAATTGTATTTCAATTCTATGGATGCTTGAAGATTTCAATGCATCGCATATTGGCTGTTTTGTAATTCCGTAGGTCTCTTACGGATGTCCGCAAGGATCCCTATAGAAGTCGTTGGGACTCCGATGGGTTTCTTCAGGAATCCCATCGATGCCCCAAGGAATCTCATGGATTCCCCCCAGGATCCGAATGATGGCTATAGATACAAGAACCCGATGGATTGCCTGAGGAGTCCTATGGAGCTCCGCAGGAAACCCATGTATACCAAAATGACGTACGGATTTCCTATGAAATGTCATGGTTGCCCTAGAAATGCTCATGGATGTCCCACGGACGCATGGATGTTTTCATGTGTCCGATTGGTGTCCTCAGGAAGCCGATGGATTGCCTTAGCAACCCGGTGGGTTTCCCAAGGGATCTCATGGATCACCGAAGGAGTCCCATGGGTGTCTTAAGAACCCTTTCCGGAATCTCACGGATGTCCTAAGGAGTCCTCGGGATTTCTTAAGGAGCCCCATCGATGTCCCAAGGATTCTCCTTGATCGCCCAATGAATCTGATGGATGTCCAAAAAGTTCTTATGTATGCCCTAATGCCCTAAGCTAATCCATTGGTTGTCTAAGAAGCCCGATGGATTTCCGAAGCAATCCGATGGCGGGTTTGCGGGTTTTTTTTCAATATCATGGATTCCCCGAGGATCCCGATGGATTCCCTCAGGATTCATATAGATGCCCTGAGGAACCCAATGGTTTTTCATGGAGCCGCATGGATTGCCCAAGGGAGCCTAGAGATTCTCTAACGAAGCCGATGGATTGCCTAAGGGACCCGATGGGTGACTTCAGATTTCTTACGCATGTCCTAAGGAGTCCCATAGATTTGTATGTCCGAAGGAATCCGATGGATGTCCGCAGGAATCCCATATATTGCTCAAGGAACCTTTGGAATCATCAGTAATCCGATGTTTGTCCTGATGATTCCGATTCATTTCCTAAGGATTATGATAGATGTCCAACGGCATCCTATGTGTGTTCTAAGGGTTCCCGTGGGTTCCCATGGAATCGTACGGGTTCCATAGAGAAGGCGATTGCTTTGGTAAGGGGCTTTAGGGTGTGTCTTTAGTAATCCAATGGCTGCCCGAAGATTCCCACGGATGTCCTAAAGTATTTTGCCGGTGTCAAAAGGCATCAGATTCCTCTTGCACCTTGCGCGCCGCGCCGAAACTTCTCCATCCTTTTTCTGCTTTTTGCACTACCGCAAATGAGCCGCGATGGGCTCCTTCCAACACACGCGCCATTGAAAATGCTTGATGAAGGTAGTCTTCGCACATAGATAACCACACGGTCCTGACAGGACGTTTCTTGGGGTTGGGGAGAATGGTCCTGGGGGTCCTCCTCCTCCTTCTCATCCTCATCCTTCTTCAACGGATTTCCGTTGGAAGCTTAGATATTGCCAGGAAGGAATCCGATGGGTGTCCGAAGGAATCCGATGGATGTCCTAAGGAATCGCATGGCTGTCTTAAGGAAGCGTATGGATGTCCTAGGGAATCCGATGGCCCGCTTAAGGATTCGGATTGTTTTTCTACAGAAATCAAATGGGCTTCCCTGTTTAAGGAATCCTATGGACGCCTTCTGGATTCCAATCGATTCCCGAAGGAATCCGATGGATTTCCTAAGGAATCCGATGCCTTTTCAGAAGGAAGCACATCGATTTCCGAATGAGTTATATTGATGTACTAAGGAAGCCTTCGGATTTCCTAAGGCATCGAATGGATTCCCTGAGGGATCCTATGGGTGTTCTAAGGAATATAGTGGATTTCCTGCGGATGTCTATGGATGTCCTATGGCATCCTAGGTATTGTCTTGAGGAACGAACCTGGTGGATTATTCAAGGAATGTTATGTGTGTCCTCGGGAATCTTATGGATTTCCATCGGCATCCTATGGTTTTCCGAAGGAGTCCAATGGGTTCCATATGGAATGCGAAGTATCTGCCAAATAATCCTCGAGCCCCACTGGTCACGGTCGAGCACGACTACAAGTTCTCCTAGCCGGCCAACATAGATCGGCGGATGCGCAGGTCTAACGCTGCGCCGACGCCAGACGATGACCGGCGACGGGGCGGCGACGGCGACCACGTCGCCGCCGGAGCGACGCACAGGCCCAGTTTCTTAGGAATCAATGTCTAACACATACGTGCACGCGCTGTTTGGGGGAAAGAAGGGGTCAACCAGGATGAGCAGAGAGATCTCTAGTAGCAGAGGGTTTGCCTTGGAGGGCCTCCTGGGGCTCCTGTGGGGGGTCTCGGGGTCCTCTTGGAGGTCTCTTGAGGAGAGTTCTCGTGACCCTTTTGGCGCCATCTGCGGGCTCTTTCGGGGGTCTCCTGGGAGCTATGGAAGGCCCCCTGGGGCATCTTGGAAACCATCGATGTCCATCGATCAACACGGGAGGGTCGTCTATCTAGGTCCGCTTTCTGAAGCCCTCAAACTCGCCTCTTGTGGCGCCGTCGGGCGCTCTTGTAACCGTCTGGGGGCCCGTTGGGCCCAGCTCGGGCCTTCTATTGCGTCATCTTGAGGCTTCAACTGCGCGTCGCAGGCGAACGGACGAGGATACAGCCATAACCGATGTTCCCCAGGTTCTGGAATGATGGGGGCATCTTGGGGAGACCCTGAGGGGGTTCCGACGCCCTCTCGGGGCCTCTTGGAGGCATGTCGGACGCCGTTTTGAGCCATCTTGGAGCATCGGAGGCCGCGTTGGAGCCATATTGTACCATCTTGGACGCTCTAACCCGCCGCGACCGCCCAAAGAAATTCTCGGGGGGGAATGGGAAGGGAATAGGGGTTTCGAACGAGGAGAGCAGGAACTCGTTAGACCACCTACGCCCAGAGGGTTGGTGATTTCCAGAAGACCGATCGGATTTCTTTGATCGGCGCTGGACAAGCCTGGCTGCGCCCCCAACGCCGCACCTGACGCGCTCCACGGGAGGAGGGCCCAGCACCGATGTTGTAATTCCGCGCGGTCCTGCGACAGCTTGTGTTCATGGTGTCCTCGGGTGCGGTCGGTTCGGTTGCGTGGCAGTTGGTTGCGTTTGCTCGGTTCGGTTCGGTTCGGTCGGTTGCTGCGCCGCTGCGTCCTTCTAGGCTGCCTTTGGCCAGGCAGCTCCAGTTTCGCATTCGCCCGCGCGACAAGGAGGGAGAGAGGGAGAGCGCGGAAGAGGAGGGGCAGGACAGGGGGAAGGGGAAGACGGAAGAGGAGAAGAACGAGGAGAAGCAGGAGGTGGAACGGAAGATCCCCCCCGAAAGGCCACCCGCCTGAGCAGCCGCAGCACAACCCCAACGGAGGCACCTTGCCGCGCGATGCCCATCGCCGCTCCTTGGGCAGGGGGTCAGGGAATGCCAGGTAGAGGGTCACTGACTACGGTGGGTTCGCGTCGTGTCGACAGGCGGCGACTCCGCCACGAGTGTTCAACGTTGAGCGCCGCGGGCGACCCGGAATCGGTCAATTGAACGATCTGACGTTTCGGAATCGACCGATCGTTCAAGGTTGAACGATCCCCGCGGCGTCAGAAATCAATACTGGGGTCGGCACGACACGAACCTGCCATATTCGGCCAGTTGCCTTCGGCAAGCCCCGCCACCGCGATAGTGCAACAGCGCGGCAGGAGGGAGATTGAATTCTCAACGCTTTGTGCATCCCCACCAGCCCCTCAAGGAACGATGCCCGGTGGAGGTGCCGTTCTCGGGGGAACGTGGCATAATTTGGGGAGCTCGGGGAGTCTGAATGAGCCAGGGGCGTCTTGGATGCTTTTCGGAGTCTCTGGGGCTCTTGGAGGCCTCTTGGTGCGTCTTGGAGGCCTCCCGGCTGCTCTTGGGTCGCCTCTTGGAGGCTTTTTGGGACGTTTTGGGGGTCTCTTGGCGGTCTTCAGAGCCTCTCGGGGCGTCTTGGATACCTCCTGGGTGCCTCTTGAGGGCCTCGTTGGGACCTCTTGGGGGTTTCTTTGGGGGCCGATTTTGATTTCCCTCGGGGAGGTTGTTTGACCCCCCTCAGAGGGGCATGCTTTCGGCTCCGTTTTGTGTTCTGTACGCAGACTCGCCCGGAAACTATTAAAATCAGCTGCTCCTGAGAGGAGGGCGGTTTTCGAACGACGCGTGCGACGAGAGGGGGTAGGTAGGTCGGCTTTAGAAAAAAGTCGAAATCCTTTACAGACAACAGAAGGAGCATTCTCGCCCGCCCGCTCTGTGTAGGCACATTCCCTCCTTTATCCCTCCCTCCGCCCTTGCTCTCGTCCCTCATTCTCTCTCTCTCTGTCTCTAACTCTATCTCCCCCTCTTCTCGAAGCAGAAGAGAAGAAGCGGCGTAAACATCAGAGTAACCGGTCCGAGTTGTCTTACATTGTCCATGGGTGCGTAGTTGTTTTGGGGTTTCGCAGTGCGGATTGTCGTTCGTGGAGATGTTGGTGTCGTCGGCTTCGCTCGCGGCTCGCCCGCGACCCGCCCGCGACGCACCCGTGACTCACCGACGCTGTTTTGACGAACAGAAATCGCGCATGTTGCAGGCTCGTTGCGCAGTGTGTAGAAGCATCGGGCCCGCCTGCGAGCGTTTTTTCCAAGTTTGCGATCGAGGCTCGCAGATCGCCAGCGACCGCCCCGCCCCCCCCCGCCCCCATCACTCGTCTCCGCAACTGCTTGGGCCATGGGCAGTTGGTCTAAGGTTCGAGCGGATTTCTTGGATCGGCGCTGGACCCCACCCCCTGGCGCGCGGCAGAGATCACCCCCGGTCCGTCCTCTTCCCGTCTTTCCTCCCTCCTCATCCTTCTGCTCTTGAGATCTGCAAAGCCTCCGAGAGCAAGGCGGACAGCACAGAAAACTAGCCTGACGAAGGACCCACCCATATGCAGCTGCGAGTGCAGCATTGTGGGTACCGCTTTCGGTGGAGTTCCCTATGGGGCTGGATGGGGGAGGCGCATGCGAACGGTGCAACGGGGGCCTTCGGTGGAGCTCCCTATGGGGCCACAAAGTGCTGTCTTGGGCGGGGGAGACGCATGCAAACGGTGCCACTGCGGCCTTCGGTGGAGCTCCCTGTGGGCCCACGAAACGTTGTCCTCGGTGGCGGTGACGCATGCGAACTTTGCCACTGGGGCCTTCGGTGAAGCTCCATATGGGGCCACGAACCGTGTGAGAGGTGTGCCTACATGGGTGGCGTTTACGCATGCGGACCCTGCCACTGGAGCCTTCGGTGGAGCTCCCTATGGGGCCACGAACCGCTGTCCTGGGTGGCGTTGACGCATGCGGTCCCTGCCACTGGGGCCTTCGGTGGAGTTCCCCATGGGGCCACGAAACGCTGCCCTGGGTGGCGTTGACGCATGCGGGCCCTGCCACTGGAGCTTTCGGTGGAGCTCCCTATGGGGCCACGAAACGCTGTCCTGGGCGGCAGGGTCCGAGCAAAGGAGCCACGACCCAGGGGCCTAGGAAACTCAAAAACGAATGAGGGTCCGATAGAAAGAGACCAAGACCCAGGGGCAGAAAAACGAGGACACGAACCAGGGTCAGAGAAAACGATACCACGACCCAGGGGTTAGAACACGAGAAAAGGAACCAGGGCCCGAGAAAGCGAGACCACGACCCAGGGGCCGAGGAAACGAGAACACGAGAAACCGAACCAGGGTCCGAGAAGACGAGACCACGACCTGGGGGCAAAGAACATGAGAAAACATGAAATCGAACCAGGGTCCGAGAAAACGAGACCACGGCCCAGGGGCCAAGACAACGAGAAAACGAGAAAACTAACCAGGGTCCGAGAAGACGAGACCACGACCCAGGGGCCGAGATAACGAGAAAACGAGAAAGCCAACCAGGGCCCGAGAAAACGATACCACGACCCAAGGTCCGAGGAAACCAGAAACGAGAAAACGAATCAGTGTCCGAGAAAACGAGACCACGACCCAGGGGCCGAGGAAACGAGAAATCCAACCAGGGTCAGAGAAAACGAGACCACGACCCAGGCGCCGAGATAACGAGAAAATGAGAAAACCAACCAGGGTTCGAGAAGACGAGGCCACGACCCAATGTCCGAGGAAACGAGAAACGAGAAATCCAACCAGGGTCCGAGAAAACGAGACCACGACCCAGGAGCCGAGACAACGAGAAAACGAGAAAACCAACCAGGATCGAGACAAGCAGACCACGACCCAGGGGCCGAATGCGCAGCCGCTCCAGCGGGAGCGACGGCCGTGACATTGCCCGGGCCCGGCGCCGAAGGGGAAATGGACGAGGAGGAGGAGGACGAGGAGGCACGAGGAGGAGGAGGAAGAGGAGGAGGAAGAGTAGGAGGAGGAGGAAGAGGAAGAGGATGATGAGGAGGAGGAGGAGGAAGAAAAATAATAATAATCATGAGCATAATCAGAAGCAGAAACAGAAGAAGAGGAGGAGCAGGAGGAGGAGGCGGAGGAGGAGGGGGAATGGGGATAAGGATTAGGAGAAGGGGGAAAAAGAGAAGGTTAAGGAGGAGGAGGGGGAGGCGGACGAGGGGGATGGAGGAGGAGGACGAGGGGTAGGGAGGAAGGGGAAGGGGGGGGGGCAGCAGAGGAAAAGAAGGGAGGAGGGGGCTCGGGAATTGTATCCGGACAAGGGCGGCCTCGCAGAGGGGGGGGGACAAGCAAAACAATAACGATGCTAAAACACATTCGTACCTGGGCTTGCTGGTAACTGGCTCTTCGAGGCTTACCGATTACCGGCGATCACCTGTTGCCGGGGATCGCCCGGCAAACCAGGCCTAGGAATGATTGCTCCAAGCAGCAAGCGGCAAGTAGAAATAGTTCTGTCTCGTGGTGCCCTAGTGCCGCGCATGGTGTATCGCGACAACCATTTGACCAAAGAGAGCGAGAACAAGTGGTAAGCAACGCAATTGCTCAGAACGCTCGTCATGCGCGCCAACTTAAATCCAGATTGTTTTAATTCGCCTGCTTATTGAATTCATCCGGTTCTAAGTCGCTCGGTTCAAACATATGCGGTTTCGATTTGCCAGTTTAAGATTCATCAGGGTTTAATTCGTCCGTTAGACTTATTCCGGTGTTCATTCGCCCGTTTTGAATTCATTCGGTTCTAGTTGGCCCGCTTGAATTCAACCAGCTTTAATTCGTCTGGTTCACATTCATCCGGTTTTGATTCACCAGGTTTGAATTCATTTGGTTTTATGTTCTCCCGGTTCAAATTGTTGACGCTTCGCGTATCCCCAGTAACCCATCCAGAAACGATCAGCAGGGGAGTTGGTGAATCAGGGGCGGCAGGACGCATGCAGTCGCGCAGCCGTCAGCAAATATCTTCCAGCATTGAAGTTTAAGATGGAAATCCGTGCAAGCTACGATGGTGCTTCGATGAGGGGTGAAGGGGTGTTTCGATGACTCGTACTGGCTGGTTTGTGTCTTAAGCTCGCGTGCGTTCCGAAACTTGGAGGCATTTTGGGGCTCTCTTGGGATTATCTTGGGCCCCTCTTGGGGCCTCCTGGGGCTCTTCCTTGGGGCTCTCTTGAGGTCCTCTTAGAGCCTTGTTGCCGCTCTTTTGGGGCGTCTTGGGGTCCTCTTGGGGCTCTTTGGGGGGCTTTTGGGGGGTCTGGGGGCCTTCTTGGGGCTCTTTTGGGATGCCTGAGGGGCCTCTTGGGGCCGTCTTGGACCCTTTCGCTAAAAGAGAAGGGGGTCCTTCATTCGGACCCCCCCATCGGAGGCTCAAAAGTGCCGTCCCGGGGCCCTCTTGACCCGCTCTTGGGGCCGTCTTGGGGCCCTTTTGGACCCCTCTTGGGGCTATCTTGGACCGTCTTGGGGCCATCTTAGGCCTCAAGAGCCCATCGAAGGCGAACAAACGAGAAGGCAAACAACATTGGGTTTTGACAGAGTTTGGCCTCTTGGGGGGTCCTCGGAGGCCTCGGACAGCACTTGAAACCGTCTTGGGGCCGTCTTGAGGCCTCTTGGACGTGTGTCGGAGGCTATCTTGACCCATCTACCGCTATCTTGGGCCATCTTGGAGGCCATCTTGCGCTCTCTGAGGCCCTCTTGGAGCCATCTTGGGCCATCTTGGACGCTGCTATGGGTCTGGCCCCCCCCCCGTCCAAACGCACGGAGAGGGGAGGTGAACCTCCCAAACAGGGAAAGGAAGGAGGTTGGAAAAGGAAGCGCCCTAGACCACCTGCGCCCAGAGGGCTGGTGGGATTCATCCAGTTTTCACCCCCCCAGCTTCCACGCGAACCACGCAAAGCAAGGGCGGGCGCAACCGAAGCGGACGAAACAGAAGCGGACGAAACAGAGGCGAACAAAACAAAAGCGGACGAAACAAAACCGGATGAAACAAAAGCAGACGAAACAGAAGTCGGTCGAAACAGAAGAAGACGAAACAAAAGCGGACGAAACAAAAGTGGACGAAACAGAAGCAGACGAAACACAAGTGGACGCAACAAAAGCGGACGAAACAACATTCCACCCCGTGGTTGGGATTCGGTTGGGCGGCGGCTGGGCCGCGGCCAGGATTCGGCTGGGATTTTTCTGGTGGCGTGTTTTTTTTCCGGGGTGCTAGTTTTTTTGGGTGGAGCGGCGGCTGGGCGGCGGCCGGGATTTGGCTGGGATTCTGCCGGGCGGCGGCCGAGATTTGGCTGGGATTGTTGCCGGGCAGAGGGCCCGCCGCCTCAGAGGCGTGTCTGCAGCGAAGCATTGGCGTGCGACTCGCATTGGTCACGGCACCTTCGGCTTATTGATTAATGCCCGCACCTGGAGCCCTCGCATCGCAACGGGCTGCGTATTGAGCGTATTTCGCGATGGAGTTTCACATATTTCCGACGCTTGTGCTTCGGCTTCGCAGTCCTGTTGCGTTACGTGCTGCGCTGTGCGGCTGTATCCTTGTTTCGACGCGCGGGCCTGTCTTTTCCCGCGGGCGTGTGCCTGTCTGCTGTTAACCCATTGCCGTGGCAACGCCCTTGTTTGTCGCGCCTAGGGAGGGGTCTGCGTTGCCTCCCTGTCGTTCAATGCGGTTTTGTGAGCGGCTGGGCAACGTCATTGGCCATCCGGTTTTCACTCGCCATGGTCGCCCAGTTGCACGGCGCAGCGTAGCGCTGCAGCTTCTTTTCGGTTGGCCGCGCAACAGCAGGCGGCGGAGCGCCGCGCCGCCGCCTCGCTGCTCAGTTCGCTCGCGGCGCGGGTTTCAGCGCCGCGCAGCGACTTGTTGAGGCGGGCGCTGTCCGCGACCGCGCGGTTCTCCTCTTCTGCCGCCCCCCATTCCCCCTTCCATCCGACCGCCCCCCTTTATCCCAGGTCCTTTTTTCCTCCAGCTGCCTCGATGCTGCGCCGCCGCTGCGCCGCCGCCTTTCTCCGCACGGCCGCGGTCTTCGGGCCCCTCTTCGCTGCGGGGGGACCGCCCCGCGGCGGGGCCGCGGCCGCGCGAGCGCCGCGCCGCTCCCAGCCGTTCTCTCGGAGGGGGCCTTCGGCACGCGCTCGCCCGGGCCCCCTCGCGCGGCCCCGGGGAGGGCGCTTGCGAAGATGGCATCCGTCGATCAGGGCGACTGGCCGTTCCGCGGGCCCCAGGCGATGCCCGACTCGACGATGGCATGGCGGTCTTCGCGACGGGGCCGACGTTCGCGTCGCGCCGAGGCTTCTGGGTCTCGGGGTCGGAGGTCTCGAGCGGCGCTGGGGTGGCCCGGGAGCTGGGGCGCGCCCTGAACGCGCTGCGCCGCGCGCTGATCTACGACCTGCCTGACGCCCCGAACCCGGCGTCGCTGGATCTGCTGGGCCGCGGGGCGCGGCCCTCGCTCAGATATTCTCAATCGAAGAACGCTCTTGGATACTCTCCGTCCGAGGGATTTTCTGTTGTTTGCGAGTTGGGCATTGGTGGACGCTTTTCTACGAAGACCGCGTTCCGTGTTCTGCGTGACCGAGGTGCCTGTTGCCGCCCTGGAAACAGGCCCTCGGTGACCTCCTGTCCCCTCAACCGGCATCACGAACAGCATCGGTGGGGCAACGGTCACCAGCATCATTCTCGCATGTGTCACTTCATTTATCGTTAGTCCAAACATCGTATAAGTATGTGGGCATCCTCGGTAGCGTATTTTGTCATACCCAACCCGCCCCCTAGAGGGCATTTGCACATGGGGATGGGGCCTGAAATCGATTGCGCGGCTTTTGTGCGGATTTAATTTCACGTTCTGGCCGTTAGGGTCGGCTCATTGCATTGAGAACCACCCGTGGTTAGCCCGCGGCGCTTGCCAGAACGATGCAGAGTTGATTGGAACGACCAGATGAACGCTGCCGTATCTAGAGCGTTGTCGCCTGATTTTGTCGGCGTTTGGGGAGGTCACGCTATTTCGGTAGGCGCGAATTGTTTTTGATTCGTTTTCCTAAGATCGATTGGCTTCGGCAGTTTTTGAGCAGCGTGGCCAAATAGGACAGCTACAGAGAACAAGTAACTTGCTGCACTTCGTGGCTCGTAAGTGCAGCAACGTGTTCTTTCGAATTTGTGCGATGTTCTGTTTTTGTTGTTGCTGCTGCTGCCCTTTGCCCCGCCGTAGTCATCTGGCTTCAAGCTCCCGGCCGCTTCCCCCGCACACCCTGATCTGGATTGTGCAGGTTTGGTGGAGGTTCAATTCCACATTTTGGCCGCGAGGGCCTGCTCATTGCATTGAGAACCGCCCGTGGTTAGCCGGCGGCGCTTGCCAGAGATATGCCGCGCTGGCTGGAAAAACCAGGCGCTCCAGTATCTAGAGCGTTGTCGCCTGATGTTGTCGGCCTTTGGGGGCTCACGCTATTTGGGTAGGAAGACAAAACTGTATTTCTTGATCCCCCAGGCTGCGTTTCCACAGCCGCCTCTGTCGCGCCCCGCGCACGTTGGAAGGTCTGGCGTCGATCCAAAAAATCGTCGTGGATCTCCGAATGATCGGCTTGTTTTTCTCATGGAGGGAGGGGAACGAAAGAGGTCAAAGAGGGAGGAAGAAGGCCCAGATCTCCGACGTCGTCTCTTTCGCAACGTGGACCCCGGATGTGTCAATTGTTTCCTCGGGATTGGTTTATGTCATCCCGTGTTGGTGTTGTTTTTTTTTAACCGTTCTGGAAACCAGCGAGGATCCCCGGAGTTGGATTCCAGAGGCCCAAATTTGCCCAAATCTTCCCGTCCAGATTTCCCTCGGCGTGAAGCAATGAAGAGGTGGACGGCGGGAATTGCGGGGCCAGCACGGATCTTGGCAGGGACAGGTTTTCCTAAGACCGCCTTTCTATTCTCATGTGCTGGCAGAGTTTTCCTCCTGAGGGAAAGGGGGGGGCGCCGCCCCGCGGCGCAGGTCGCGGCGCCGCTGTCCCACTCGTCCTCGAACGACAGCCTGTCCGTCGGCGGCGCCGGGGGCTGCAGGGCGCAAAATGCACCTGCGCCGATCCTGGCAAGCCGAGCCTGGGCTGAAAAACGGTGTGCTTGTCGGTCTCTTTGCGAAGGGCAGAAATTGTCCGCCCCGGCTGGCGCCAGCAGCCAACCGCAACGGAATCGAGGTTTGTCCGTCGGGTTTTCGCGCTTGTTCTCCATTCCCGTTTTCCGTCAAAAGAGAAGGAGCGGTGTTTCTGTCTTTGTTTCGCTCCCGTTCTCTTCCCCGCCGGTAACAGATTCGATGGGTGTATCTGTCCTCCTGGACGAGCCATGAGGGTGCCTACGCCGGTCCTGGACCCAGGATGCGCGTGGCCAGGATCGGCTTGGTTAATCGCATAACCAGGCGGTGGCTTCCCAGGGGTGGCGAGCGGGCCGGGGAGGGGGGGGGGCCTTCGCCCTAAGCGCTCCAGAGTCACGCGAAGGAGGGGGGGGTACGAGGTCAGGGAGGAGGATGTTTACGGTTCAAGGATCCCAGACATCCAGGATTGGTGCTTTCCATCCTGGGCGTCTTTGATGTATTTCGGCTTGCGGGGGCCGTCTTCGTGACTCGGGGCCATCAAATATGAATCCTGGGCGCACGAATGGGCAGTAGGGAAGCTGTTGGGACCGTTGGGGCCGCGGATCTAGAACATGATACGTCGCATGTTTGTGATCAAGGTTTTTGGATTTTGTTCTAGGCCTCCTCGTCGCCACGGCGTGATCCGCCGCGAGATCCTGGCTGGAACGCGCCCCAGGATGGGTCCTGATGTGGGTCTTGGGTGTTGGACCCCAGACGGAGGAGGGACCAGAATTTCGGACGAAACATGTTGTTCAATCTGACAGTTTATTTTGTCATGTGTTCCGTTCCCTTGGCCGTGGGGTTGTCAATAATACATCCAGAACTACAAAGTGACCATGGGGCTCGCGGATCAGAAAATTCATGCCGTCGGAAGTCTGGGAAGGAGTTCAATGAGGAGCATTGGGAGGGACCATGAGATGATAGGGAGGCAGCATGATGATGAGAACGAGGGGCGGAGTCGGTTTCTCCCCGTACTTTCTCGCTCCTTCCTTCCCCTCAACCTCTCCCTCACCATCTTACCACCTGTCCTCACTCCCTACCTCCCTCCCTCATGCCTTCAACCATCCTTCCCTCCCACCTTCCCCCCCCTCCTCCCGCCTACAACAATGCACTGCTCAATAGTCACGTATCCGTATCCTCTCCCCCTGTCCCCTGACAGTGTGCCAGCGTGCTCCCGCCTCTAAAGCGTGCTGCTGCTTTACGCAGGATTCTGACAGTCTGGGTGCGTGCGGCTCCTCCCGAGGAGCTGGATGGATCAGCCCAGGTTTTGCGTGTTGCCCGCCCGTGGGCCCTCGCGCGCAGGGCGGGTCCGCCAAGGTTTCGCTTGGTGCCCACCCGTGAGCCACAGCACCACCTAGCTTGACCACATCTCAAATTGCATAGTTTGCACCCCATAGCTTACACAACATATACTGCAGCGAATAACTCACACCACAGCTTTTACCACATGGCTTGCACCGCATATCTGGTACCTGCACGGCAGAGCTTACACATAGCAGGCGCCATTGCTTACACCAGCTACCGTGCACCACACAGCTAGCACCAGATAGCTTACACCACATATACTGCAGCGAATAACTCACACCACAGCTTTTACCACATGGCTTGCACCGCATATCTGGTACCTGCACGGCAGAGCTTACACATAGCAGGCGCAATTGCTTACACCAGCTACCGTGCACCACACAGCTAGCACCAGATAGCTTACACCACATATATTGCAGCGAAAACTCACACCACAGCGTTTACCACATGGCTTGCACCGCATATCTGGTACCTGCACGGCCGAGCTTACACATAGCAGGCGCCATTGCTTACACCAGCTACCGTGCACCACTTAGCTAGCACCAGATAGTTTACACCACGTATACTGCAGCGAATAACTCACACCACAGCTTTACCACATGGCTTGCACCGCATATCTGGTACCTGCACGGCCGAGCTTACACATAGCAGGCGCCATTGCTTACACCAGCTACCGTGCACCACTTAGCTAGCACCAGATAGTTTACACCACGTATACTGCAGCGAATAACTCACACCACAGCTTTTACCACATGGCTTGCACCGCATATCTGGTACCTGCACGGCAGAGCTTACACATAGCAGGCGCAATTGCTTACACCACCTACCGTGCACCACGCAGCTAGCACCAGATAGCTTACACCACATATATTGCAGCGAATAACTCTCACCACAGCCTTTACCACATGGCTTGCACCGCATATCTAGTACCTGCACGGCAGAGCTTACACGTAGCAGGCGCAATTGCTTACACCTACCGTGCACCACACAGCTACCACCAGAGAGCTCACACCACATATACTGCAGTGAATAACTCACACCACAGCTTTTGCCACATGGCTTGCACCGCATGTCTGGTACCTGCACGGCAGGGCTTACACATAGCAAGCGCAATTGCTTACACCAGCTACCGTGCACCACTTAGCTAGCACCAGATAGCTTACACCACATGTACTGCAGCGAATAACTCACACCACAGCTTTTACCACATGGCTTGCACCGCATATCTGGTACCTGCACGGCAGAGCTTACACATAGCAGGCGCCATTGCTTACACCACCTACCGTGCACCACACAGCTAGCACCAGATAGCATGAAGGCAGAGGGCGCATGAAGGCGCCTCGGCCTTTGTTCGGTCGTTTGAGCGTTTACTCCACATAGCTCACATGACGTAGAGAGCACCACATGGCTTCCACATCTACAGTGCATCCTTCTACTGTTTGGGGTCCACATTGGCAACCATGTTCTGTGAACGAACACTCTTGGGTCGCAGGTGTTCTCGTCTGTTCCTCCCTCGCGCCTGTTTCATGCAGGGTGCGTTTCATGCAAATGGTCTTTTTCTCCGCCGAGGGCGTCGCCCGACCTCTCGGCGCGTCGTCTGCTCTCAGTTCCCCACCATGCATTGCGCGTGCAAGTCTGCGATGAAGGCCCAATCCGACACCCGACTTTGCGAATACAAGGGAGTCAACCCAGTGGGAAGGGATACAAAAGGAGGGTAAGATGTGATGTGGCGCGAGCGCACTTCGCTTGCCTAGCCACCTCCTTCTCCGCTTGCCCAGTCCTCTATCCCTCCTCCTCTTCCCGTTTCTTCTGCGCCTCGTCGTCAACCTTCTTCCACGTCATCCCTCTCCTCCGCCTTTCTGTTTCCTCATCATCTCACCCGATGTTCTTCTTCTTCAGAGGAGGAGGAGGAGATGAGGTGGTGGAAGAAAGGAAGAACGGATGAGAAGGTTGAAGATGGATAAGATAATTAGAGGAAAAAGGCAATCAGGATAACAACGAGGAGGAGGAGGGAGGAACATGATGCAGAGAAAGAGGAGCGTGATACATGAACGAAGAGGGGGAGGAGGACGAGGACCAAGGGTAGGCGTGGAGGAGAGAAGAGGGAACGGCTGGTGCAGGAAGGAGGCATGAGGGTGAGGAAGGAGTACTTGAGGAGGACACGAGGGCGGATCGCCGCGATATCTTCTTATCGATGGTGTTCCTTTCTGGGGTGGGGCGGGGGGCTCGTGCCCACGACTGGGCCCCGTCTTTTCCTTCATCCCCGCTCGCTCCCCCATCCTTTTCCCGCCCACTTCCCTATCTGCTCTCTCCTTCTCTCTCTCTCTCTCTCTCTCTTTCTCTCTCTTATTCTCTCTTTCTCTTCGTGGGACACGAGCAGCAGTACGGAGGAGAGGGACGAGCGAGGATGGAGGACGGAGGCGGGCGGAGAAGGGACGGAGGCAGGAGGGGCGTTGGGACGAGGAAGTTGGCAAAAAGTGAGCGGAGAGTACGGATCAGGAGAGAAGGAGTGAGGCGGGGGAGGAGTGAGGCGGAGGAGGAGGAGGAGGAGGGGGAGGAGGAGGAAACAGGAGGAGGAGCAGGTTTGTTGCCATTGCGACCGATTCAAGACACTCGCATACTGTTTCAGATACGCGCAAACCAAAAAAACAATCAACGTTCTCCCCGATGTTGAAAGCAGGCACACATACGTCACATGCCTCTACGATGTGGACATACGAAATGTTGTGGGCGAATCTGGCGCCCCCCCCCCCGCAGGCGGCGCGGCGTGGGCCTCGAGGGGCTTCGCGTGAGCCCATGAGGCGGCGGAGGCGCAGCAGGGCGGGGAGCCGGGGGCGGCGACGACCTCCCGTTTCCTCTCCCCCTCCCCCCCGTGCTTCCCACGGGAGGAGGAGGAGGAGGAGGAGGAGGAGGAGGAGGAGGAGGAGGAGGGAAAGAAGGGGAGGCTCAGCTTCCGACCGACCGACCGCGGATGAGAAGAAGCGGGGGGGTGGGAGGGATGCGTCCGTGCGAGCGGAAAATTGGCTCAGGTGGGGTGGGTTGGCCCGAAGGTGTTTTGAGATGCGTCCTGGCTGAACCAATATTGAGGCGCACAGAAAGAGGAAGGGCCTACCCTGCAGGTTCGGCCGACAACGCATCGTCGAGCGGTGCTGAAGCCACCCCTGAGCACAGTTCCCGCCCCCAGAGCAGCTAGACAAGTCGGGACTGCACTACCCAAGCGCTCGGTTTCCACGGCGGTTGCAACGACGGCGGCGAAGCTGCAGACTATTGGACAGGCGTTGCCAATGCTCCTCCGCGGGTAGTTTGCCGCCGCGGGACCACAGCGTGGCGTTGATCATTTCCCACACCTCTGTGCGCTCCGTGACGTCGCGGACCATGGCAGGCTGTTTGCTTGGTACATGTGCCGCACTCGGGGGGGTGAGTAAATCGATCGCCGGGCGGGTGCAGATATGAATTCGGGCGGATGCATGCGGCGTTTTCAGGCAGTTGTTGAATGTGTCTTCTGGTCCGCGCAGAAACAGACCAGCGCAAATTTGGGTCTTTGCGTTTGCTTGTCTCGCCTGCGCTGACAAGCGCAAGCGCTCTCGCTGGCGACGGTGGCCTCCATGGCAGCGTGCAAGCGGCGGGAATGATTGGCTCTCGCGAGGGCAGCCCCCACGAAGCGTCTGAAGCTCGACGGAGAAACTTCCGTCGATGTCCCAACTGGCAACCTGGAGCCCCGCGGCACGTTTTACGTCGCGAGAACAAGCAATATCATATCGGGGTATATGCATTGCGGGGTGGGCGTCGTGATCCTGCCCCCAATCACTCGGATGCCAAGCCCGACACAGGACCCACGGATTGGCAACACCCCCGCGGAACAGGCTGTCCTTTGGATTCACTGCTGGCAGATTCGACTTGGCCGAACCATCTTGCGACCCACCCACCAGACAGGGCCGATGACCCCCCAACAAGGCTGGCGAAGCTAGCGACGCTGTCCAAGAAATGGGTCCATGGGGACCCGCGCAGCC